CTCACGTAAGAATGTGATGAAAGGAGCTTTATGGTAACTGCTTAACAAATATTCGACATACATGTGAAAGAAAAACTCTATCTGTCGACCATTTGGAGTGTATTAGTTATCAGACCTTGTCTACAGGGAAGGAACTAAAGAATAATGAGGCCTTGGCAATGAAATATACAGTGGTGCCGGGTCTGTTACCTGTTAAATGATGGCCTTTGAAGCTTTCTGCTGCTTGATATACAGCCAATAATCATTTCTCTTTTCGTATCTCTATGTTCTGACTTCCAAAGCAGTAATGACTTGGTACCAAAAGAAACCATAATTGCAGGTAAGAATCTGAGGTGTGGTGTGAATGCGTCCATATAATCAAACCCATAAATCTGTGTACCGACCCATAAAGCTGTGTTTGGGAACATACCATCATCGCATTTTTTGCTCTCGCACACATACCATGTACATGAGACTAAGGAAAATGAATATTCTTGTACAGCCATATTTTGGTGTCTTTTATGAGCCAGGGTATATGCGAGAAATGGTGGGTGAATCGGGAAATAATGGGTGTGTGACATGGATGATGCACGCAAATCTGTCTATTTGTTGATATGGTAAAGGGGGATCCTTTCCCAAAGGCATGGGATGGGTAAAAACATCAAGCCATGCATGGATGAATGCACAGACTGTCATGATACACCCTTCTAGAAACAACAATAACTTTGGGAAAGCCCTCAGTCACTGTTTCTCACTGTAAAGCACCTGTATAGTGTTTTTTGCTAACTATTTCTGATGTGTTTGTATTGCGTGCTTTATTTATATTTCAGTGCCAACGAGTGTTATTTTTACAGGAACAGCTATTGCATCTTTGTAGTGTTGACAACAGTCTTGAGGAACGTGTTTTAAACATGTTATTGTAAGTATTTTTAATTGTGAGATAGTATTTCCAATATTGACATTTGAATTTGGGGCTGAATAATTTTACAAAGTTTTAAATTTAGACATAAATAGACCTAATGGTTGGGTATTTTTAGCTACATACTTGTCAGTGTGTTACTGTAATGTCTGGTAAAATTTGGACCTGAGGTACAAAGATCAACAAACAGAAGCAATTTCTTCATAAAATGTCACTAAACCTCATGGCTGTGTTAGAACAGACCCAGTTTGTAAAGTCTGGGCTATATACTTGTCACTGAGTTAATGTCATGTAAAAACATTTTGTGTCATTTCGTACCTTCAGACTGTGTAATGAAATGGATATACAGCCTAGATGAGGTTACAAGGTTTTTCACAATCAAACACTGCTGCATAATTGTTGATTGTGGCCTCAAGGCAGATTTTTATGGCCGTGTTTATGTTTGCTGCGGTGCGCTGCCACAAAAATAGTCTCTGACGTTTTTCTCTGAAAATAAGTTGATTTTTTTTGTTTTTTTTCTCTGAATACACAGTGAGCACTAAGAATTGTGGATAAATGTTGCATTGTTAATCAAGATAATTATTTGAACACAGTTCAAAACAAAAAAAAAATGTTGGAATTTTGATATTCCATTATTACCTAAATAATGTTTTAAGACTATTAAATTAATAATTGAAACTAATTACTGCAATGCTTTTTCAGCAATCATCAGAAAAAACTCTAACAATACACTAATAGGTGCACTACATTTAATTGAATTACTCAGGCACTTTGTTCTGGTAAACCCCAAAAAATTAAATTGCAGTTGGCAAACAACCATTTACAATTAAACAGAAGTTTGACATGCTACATAAGTAAATGACTTTGTAATTACAGATTCCTGCTCGCACTTGCAGAAGAGTTAGCAGGTACTTTTTAAACATTTAGAAGTTAGTGGCTGTTCATGATGTGGTCAAAACAGACAGAAACATTCTTCAAAATGTCTCTTTTTGTTTTCCACAGCTGAAAGGAAGGTATGGAACAACATGAGGTTATATGTAAATAACACAATTTTCATTTTTGGGCGAACCTTTTGACCAATTAATAAAAAAAATTAGCTGCAGGTTCTTGTGTTCATCTATTTATGTGAAAATAGCTTTGTGTTTGCTTAGTGGGGCTTTCTTTCAGACTCTCATCGAAACTCTTTGCTCGACTTTTTTTTACTCAGTCTCTAATGGAGCATTTGGCAGCTTTGCTCCACAAAGCTCTGCTGTTTTAACAGCCCCAAAACAAACTCATCAGAGAAAAATCCACCCCAGTGGTATGCTGAGATAATAACAGCTTGCCATGATCTGTCATGATCTGAAATACTTCAGCGTATAGGGCTTTTCATACAAGCCATGCTACCGCTGTCAGCTGAATCGACTGTGTACACAGCGCTCTGAAATATTGGAAAGTTTATCGCACTGAGCAAACCGCTGCACATTCCGTAGGCTATCAGCCTGAAGTCTCTGTGAAAATGTTCCTTTGTATCCAAAAAACATTTCAGAGAACTTGAACTGAATCCTTGCTTTCTGACAGTCAGAGAATGGTTTATACTTTTTGGAGTAAAGAACACGAGGGAACATGATGAAATGAGATATAGATGGACAGAAATGGATATAGATGTGTCTCCACAAACTTCGACGACATTTCCAAGCAGCAACTTCAGGCAAGTTAATCCTTGTCCTGACAGAGTTATGGATCCTCCCCGTACACCAACTGATCCGACTCTGATCATTTGAAGCGTTAATGGAAGTTCCTCATATATTTCGAAGTGAAGGTGTTGACTTGTCCATCTTGTGGAAACAGGTTGTAACTCTCTTGCCGAGGCCAAAAGAGAGTACATTCCCCTTAAGCTTTAAGTTAGCGTCTGTGCTAGCATCTGTGGCTTATACTTCTATTTGGCACAGGAAATTAAACAACTCAATGGAGCCGCCAAAGTCGATATTGATCCTTAATAGAACCGTGTTGAATCAACAGTATTCGGGGGAATTCATGACCTGAGCGTTTGTTCTTTTTGGTAATATTAGAATCCTGTGGATCATTTTTTGGCACGACTAGCCTGCTCTGCGCTGCTTTGACATACTGATGATACAGTCTGTATTTATAAAGCATTCCATAAAAGACAATGGAAAAGAAACTAATCACGTCTTCTCCCCGTGTTTGGGGAAGATCTGAGGGATTGCCTTCTGCTGTAACAGTATCTGTACAAATCTGTCTGTCTTGGCTGTCTCCGGGCTCCTAATTCACAACAATAACACTCAGACATCCAACATGCAAGAGGCTTGTGTGCTAGTTAAGTTGTTTATTTTGTCTCCTGTCACAAGAATAGAGGGATAGGAAAAAAATTGCACCCAAGCAAAAATACGAGCTTGTCCCATTCCAGTATGTATAAGAAAAACAAGGGGTTACTTTGTTGCAGCTTAACATGAGGCAGGTCTTTCTGTGAAGAGATGCAGCATGTTAGTTTTACAGATAAGTGATCCAGGTCTCGGTGCCAAACCTAAACAAATTCCATTTCAGACAGCTCACCTCTACAACTTGTCTCTATCTTTGTTTCTATCTCGACCGCAGTCACTTGAAGTTTAGGGAAGGGCCCAAGGAGATTCAATTCATATTTGTGGTTACTGGGATTTATAAAGCCTCGCGTTTCATCTAAGCGAAAACATCGTCAGCTCTTCGGCATTGTTGGTGGTTAGTTGACCAAGTAATAATTATGTTTAAATAAATATTTATATTTCATATTTATATAATTATCTCATATTTAGTTCAATTTGTGAGTGCTGTCAAAATGCTATTCAGTTAAAAGTCAAAATATGTAGAGTGGGTTTTCACATTTTAAAATAAAAAAATGAAACCTTTTTTCTTAGCTTTTGAAATCGATAGATGAAATTGAATGCACAAACTTGGATTTAGAGCTTAATGATGGGTGAAATATGGACTCATTTTGATGAGGATCATTGTATGATTTTTACCATATAAATGTATCTGAGTAACAGCAGATTACTTCATTGGTACTTTGTAGGTAGGGGTGTGATGTACAGGAGTAATATTTCATCACACCCCTGCAAACAGTGTGTTCTTTCAACTAGACAGCCATCTTAAACCATTTTTATATAATATTCTGAATGCTACTATTGAGAAAGTAGCTCAAATTGTAGAATCTTCCAAAAAAAGGGAGATGTCATTGGTTTGACTGATGATTGCTGAAGTCATTCCAATGTGGGATTTAGAGGCTTCAAATGTTGCCAAGTAGAATGAGTTATATCACAGATTGCATATTTGATAACCTCTCTCTGAGTTAGAAATCTACCTCTCAGAAATCAACTTCAGGCTCTGAGAGCTTATTGAATAGATGAAGCCAGCAATGTTTCCACTGAAAGCCACTGTATGTGTTTAAAGAGTTGCAAAAAGGAACCCACAGTATAATGCAATGTCTCGGGCCTCTCATTTTTAGGTGAACTGTAACGTTGTGCTCATGGAAACTTGTTGAGAGAGATCAATTTAGAAAGGTTGTTTATTTTTTCACAGACCCTACTGGGCAAAATTGACGTAGCACCTGAGAGAACTACTGAGAAGGAGTAATTAAGCAAAGAGTAAAGTCCTCAAGAGAAAATCTGACTGACTGTGTTTGGCATGAGGTAGTGCTGCATGCCACACAAAAGACCCATTCCTTTACTGCTGTGGTGCAACCTGCCTTGATGTCTGGCACCATTTAATAGCATCTTTAGACATAATTTTCCTGTGAGGGTTTGTAAGCAGAAATTATGACTCATTGGATTTCGTTATGTAGCTACAATGCGCTGCACTCAATGCCAACGGGAGAATGATCTCTGGATTAAATATCTGATAAATCACACAGTTAGAACTTCTCCCAGTGACTCATCAAATATAAAAATGGGAGTAGCACACCTTTTTTATGCATCCGCTCTGACGTGTACACTAACCAAACCTAATATTATGACAGTTTGTCATGTGTGCATCATATCCGGAATACTTCAAGTTATACAGAAATATGAAAAAAACAACAACAACAACAACAACAACAACATGCATGTCATCATTTCTTTGTTTTTATTCAGCAGGTCAGTGAGAACCAGAGAGTGGACCCTCTTGGATCATGGATGGATTTTGTGAAGAGACCTGTGGGCAACTTTCCCGGAAAATGCCGAAAGCGAAAACGACCACTGGTGCGGAAAATCTTTACAATCACATATTATCAAATGTCAAACACATAATCAACAGTAGCACATGAGACAGAGCTGAAATTGTGGCAAGGAGAGGAATTTTCATTCACCCGTAATGTACAGATTAATTCTTATAAATCAAGAATAAATGTAGAATTTAAGAATGTCTTAACAAGTTAAAGGAATAGTTCACCCAAAAATGAAAATTTACTGAGAATTTACTCACCCTCAGGCCATCCAAAATGTAGATGAGTTTGTTTCTTCATCAAAACAGATTTGGAGAAATTTATCATTACAGTATATCACTTGCTCACCAATAATTCCTTCGCAGTGAATGGGTGCAAACAGCTGATAAAAACATCACAATAGTCCACAAGTAATCCACATGACTGTAGTCCATCAATCAATGTCTTGTGAAGTGAAAACTGTGTTTGTAAGAAACAAATCCATCAAGGCAATTGATTACATAAAACATCACTTCTGACCAAAATTTCATAGTTCAAAAGTTCATAGTCCAAAATAATGCTGTTGTCCTTTTACATTACATAGACATATTTGTTTATAACTGTTTTGGACTGTTTTTTGATTGTAAACAGTGCTTGCTTGTGATCTGTGCATATTTCTCTCCTGATTCAGATTAGATGACTTTTTTCACTAGAGAAAGCAATATTATGGATAGAGAACTCAAATTTTAGTCAGAAGAAACTGTTAAAGATCAATTTGTTGATTACAAACACAGCTTTTCACTTCAGTGGAGTGGTGTGGATTACATGTGGTTTATTGTGATGTTTTTATCAGCTGTTTGAACTCTCATTCTGACGGCACCCATTCACTGCATAGGAGCATCATTTGGTGAGCAAGTGATATAATGGTACATTTCTCCAAATCTGTTTTTGATGAAGAAAAAACCTTCATCTTGGATGGCCTGAGGGTGAGTCCATTTTCAGCAAATTATATTTTTTGTTAATTATTTCTTTAAGGTTTTTTTTCCAGTCATGGTGTGCCAACTTTTTTCTTAAACATATAGTTATTTTAGCCAAGCACCTACAGTGACATTTTTTGGCAATATGCATGTTTTTTTTGTATTTTAGTACATTTAGCCTACACATGCTTACCACCATTACTTACTGTACAAGTCATTTTGTGATGGCTAATTAATAAAATAGGTAGCTAGAGACACATGTAAAACTTGTGCAATATATGAACTAACAAGCACCATTGCATATGTATTGCACTTCAAAAAAGTTGAGTGTCTAAGAATGAACTTTTAATGTATAATTTATCTCTACCAGAGAATTTGTAATATATTGCATAACACATTCCTTATCACATTTCAAGTTGTAACACGTTATTACATAAAGTGAGATGCTCTTGAGCATTCAAAGAAATTTGAGTCTTGATTAAATTGATTTGAAATTCTATAACAGTTATATTTCTTTGCCTATCAGCCTGGTCCCCCGGGCCCTCCTGGACCTCCAGGGCCTCAGGGACCCCCAGGATCCCCTGGGGCAGAGGTCACTCAAGAAGTCCTGCTGCAAGAGTTCAAAGAAATGATCAAAGGTGAGGACCCACAACACATGTGAATCCCAGTGATGGACATTTTCTATCATCATCAAGTGGCTATCATGAAGATGAGCTGGACATTTTGAGAGATACAGTGATGAGGTGTCTTTAAGTGCACACAGTGATGTGTCTGCTTGTGATCTGCTTGAACAGAGGCCACAGAGAAGCGAGCAGCAGTGGACAAGCCCAACGAACCCAGTCAGCTGCCCACGGCTCTGATTACCCTAGAGAGTATGACCTCCTACAGGAGAATCGAGGAAGCCTTCCACTGCAAACTCAAAGGCCCTGTCGTTGTGGACAAAAAGACTCTGGCTGAACTGCAGAACTTTCAGACAGTAAGTGCAGACAGTAAATATATCTGTCTTATATCATAATGGAATATCTATCCATCAATCCATCATAATGGATCTAATAGATCCTAACTTTATATTTAACAAAACCAAACCAAAACAAAAAACATATCTTTGGTAACATTTCATTCATTTATTTTTGCATAATACTTCTGGCAAATGTATCTTTAATTCCACATTGTTATATGAACAACAAATCAGTTTTACAGTTACAAATCAGTTACACTGATTTAAATGTCATAGTTAATTGTTTGATTCAAAAAGAAGTGACTCAACTGAGCTGATTCGACTTGCTGTTTTGAACTATTCATTAAAACTCTTTTTTATTTTGGGAATCGGAAAACAGCACTGTATTTTCTAATAATTCAACGGCCCGTCGTCAATTATTCCTTACTTGACCAGTATCCCTCTTAATTTTCAGCAGTCTTTAATTATCCATTTTACATGAATGTCTTCTGTTATGCTATTGTTTTTAAAAGTTATTGTGTTTATACATGTGTAGCTTATGGTCAAATAATGCAATCAGTCACAATTAGGCCTATATCTAGACTTTTACCATCAAATGAACAAAAAAGAGCATTTTTAATGTGTTTTATACTTCTTTTTGTTATAATTATTGTTAACAGCCCAACAAAAACGAAGGAAACACTGCATATAAAACTGGGTAACAGCAAATTCACATTAATGCAAATTCAAATGAGCATTCCAGCTATTTAGAAACACAGTCATTTACAGTAAATGATACAGCTTACAAAGCGAACATGTGATCGTCTCGTTGAGGCAGTGGGATCGGCTTTTGCCAGAATGTAAGAAATTCCAGTCTGTTGCAAAAAATTTCAGATTGGCTTATTTTGTCTTGGTTCCATTTGGCTTCTTCATGGTGACAGTTTTACACAATTGCTTCCAACCTGTGTGTGTTCAAAGTGAAGTGTGTAATTTCTCCATCACCAAACAGAATTACAAAATCAATCGGCCAATCAGACAGAGACTGTAACTCCACCCCAATCAGCTTTAAAGACAGCTGTATTAAGGCCACCTGTGATTAAGCTCCTGATTGACTCTTGACATGAACATTAGTGACAAGACATTGGATTGGCTGAATGTTTACTCAGCCAATCAAGAAGGGCCTAATCCACCCTCCTCCTAAAAAATATATCCTTTTTCTAATGTGCTACATTGCTGTCTTGGTGGTGTACAAAAGGTACTCTGTCTGAGGTTTTGGACGAGTGAGTGGTGTGTAAAAATAGACACCATTTGAAACAGTGTGCTGTTTCAAAGAAGAGCTTTACCCTGTGGCATTCTGATCATCCAAGGACACACACCGAAAATCCATGATTTAGCAGCGTCTTTTAGTCACGGAAAAAACTGCGATTGATTAATATGGACAAGATTTAATCTAAGCTCCTATGAGCAATTTAATTCTGCTGATCACTGAGGATGTATGATTCTTACTTTCCGTATTAAAGAAATTATGATCATATAGTCTTTCAAATCTGTCAAATGGATGAAATAATGTCAATGCAAAGCTTTATTCATCCAATGTAGAAATAGATGTCAAATAAAATTACGCTCTTCTCACATATCTGTTGGGATCTGACATGTAGCCTATATGAAAGGCATTCATTGTATGTGTTCAAAGCTGACTGCACAAAAATGGCAGAAGCGAACAGTGTTTAGCACACTAATCGGAGGACTCATTATAAAAGCGTCTGAGTCTGGAACTCTTGGTGGGTTCTGGAGGCGTAATGCAGAATAATGTGGTCTGGCATGGCTGCAGTGTGCAGTTATGATCAAAAACAGAATCGGAGGATTCTTGGAAGATGTCTACATATTTCTAACCATTTAATGGTTATGTGCTTCCAAACTGAGTCCTAAAACTGGTATATTTTCGAACGCTGTATGCAGAATGCTTGATTTGCATGTGCGTTTATTAGAGTGTGGAGAGCAAGAATTCTGCTGAAAAACCTATTCTTGAGATGTTTGGAATGCTCAGCAATTTACAAAGTATGATTTTCAGATAGAGATAGAGTGAAGGGTGTTGATCAATGGTTATTAGGTGTGTTCACTGTAGGCCCTCTATAATTCTCACCTGTTTCATACCTTCAGCCTCCTGCCAAAGGTGCCTTCCTCAGAGGGACGGGGATGGATCAGTCCACTGGCCGATTTACAGCTCCTGTAACTGGAATTTATCAGTTCTCTGCCAACGTTCATATTGGTAAGGAAAGGCTGAAGGTTTCACCTCACCAGTAGCAAACTTTCTGTCTTTTGTAATCTTTTGTTTTCTTACACTTTTTCAGTCTTAGACATGATGTTTGGAGGTATGATAATGATTAGCGGAATCAAACCCATGTTCAAACAATAGAATGCATGAATGAACTGCAATAATGTACACAATTTACGGCGATTTTTTAAGTAAAATTGTATATGGATGGTACACAATTTACAGTCAAAAGAGTAATAGAATATATTAATAATAATAATATTAATATATATGTAATTATATATATGTTATTTTATTATTTCATTAGAAACAGTAATATTGTAACAAATTTCTATTTCAGTATATCTTAAAATGAAATTTATTCCTGTCACAGCAAAGCTGAATTTTCAACATCATTACTCCAGTCTTCTGTCTCACATGATCTTTCAGAAATCATTCTAATATGCTGATTTGGTCTTTAAAAAATTCTGATTATTATCAGTGCTGAAAACTGTTGTGCTGCTTAATAGTTTATTAAGGATTCTTTGATAATTAGAAAGTTCAAAAGAATAGTTTACTTGGAAAACATACAAAATATTTGTAACATTATAAATGTCTTTACTGTAACTTCAGATCAATTTAATGCATCCTTACTGAATAAATATTAATTAAAAAAAATGCTTACTGACCCCAAACCTTTGAATGTGATGGATATGTAGATTTTTTCAAATTAAAATATGCTTTGGATAAAATTGTCTACCAAATACAGAGATTAATTGAAAATTCAATTTCTCTGCTATAAATACAAATGCATGGAGTACAAATTAATATTTCAATGTCAACTCTATCAGGAGATGCCATCATGTAATGGATGTGTTTCAGACTTGGCACTTTCTCAACAGATGGATTGCATTCCCCTGTAACTTACATTCCAACCGTGCTGCATTTGTTTGCTGAGATTGAGGGTGTCTTGCACAATCTTGCATGTTTAAAAAGCTAAAAAATTTGTGCTGTGCTTGAAAGCGCACAACCATACTTTTTTTTTGATGCTCTAAAGAGGGGGTCCAGTGATCCTTCATCCGTCCTTTCAGAGGCAATGCTTATGTGGAGTTACACTGAAATAAGCCCCAGGGACTCTGAATGCAAAACTCTTCTAAGCTGTGGCGCCGTCCATGCAGCTCCGGGAAAAGGAATTGGCTCTTTGCAGTAGACTGTGGCAGAAAATCAACATCCCCAAACAAATTCACAAATCCACTGCAGACCAATATTTAGATGCGGCTGGAGGTCAAACATGACTGGCTGTGGCATCGTGTGCTCCACATACAAAGCTCTGTCAAACAACATTTCAACAGCCTTTACTCTTCATACAACAGTTTGTAGTGCATGTCTGAAAAGTATTCTCAGGAAATATAATTTTTTGTACTTTGTGTACTTTCTTGCAGACCACACTGAGGTGAAGAAAAGTAAGAACCAGCTGAGAGCCAGAGACAATGTCCGAGTTTTGATCTGCATTGAATCACTCTGCCACAGATATACGTAAGTTTGCTTTATCTCACATTAAAGGGATAGTTCACCCAAAAATAAAAATTCTGTCATAATTTATTGAGCCTCATGTCATTCCAAAACTGTATGAAGTTCTTTCTTCTGTGAAACATCTTAGCTTTTATGCCATTGCAAACAAGCTTAAAGGGATAGTTCACCCAAAATGAAATTCTGTCATCATTTACTCACCCTTATGTTGTTCAAAACCTACTGTATATGAGTTTCTGTCTTCTGTTGAACACAGAAAAAGATATTTTGAAGAATTTGTGTAACCAAACAGTTTCTGGTCCCCACTGACTTCCATAGTATTTTTTTCCCCCTGTACTATGACTTTAAGTCAATGGCTACCAGCAACTATTTTAATTTTTGGGTGAACTATCTCTTTAAATAGACACAAAACTATCATAAAAGTATCATAAACGGGGTTCATACAACTACATTATACTTTTTTTTACAAGTCTATGGAGCCCATAAGGGGAAATTGTGATGGAAAATAAATTGAGATAAATGTAATGCTTTTCCGTTCCCCAGAAAAATTATATGAGGCGGGAGGAAAAATGATATTTCAGTGCTTTTGTGAGCAAATGCAAAGTTTCTCTGGGTAATGCAATACTTGTGCAAGAGAATACAAAAGTTTCGTGTGAGAACGCAAAAGTTTTGTGAATGAACACAACATTTCTCAGGGATTGCAAACATTTTGCGAGCAAACGCAAAAGCTTTCAAATAAATGTTTTCCTCCAACGTCCCTTTAGGGGCTCCGAACAAGTCCTATAAAGTCATACAATAGATTTGTGTGATAAGCAGACTCAAATTTAAATTATTATTTACTGAAAACCTCTTGAGAGAAGTAGTGATGTTTGATTCATGAATGAATCATTCAAACTATATAATTAAAGTGCTAGTATTTTAGTGTGTTTCCAACTGGCCACACAGAGTTTCTTGTGATTTTCTTTGATTTCAGGTCTTTCTGTCAGACTTAGTGTTAGCAGAACCATCCAGGAGAAAATCTGACACCAGCAATTTTGTTAGAAATGTTATTATGATTACATTATGTATAATTTACCCTCAAGTAGTCTATTTATTAACATTCGATTTTGGACCCATTGTCCACAGACCACATCCACATCAATATAAATTCATGATTCAGACTCTAAGGAATACATCGCTTATGATGAAAATTAGTATTTTTCTTGAGCTCCTTTTTACATTCAGAGCATGTGGTTTTATTTCAGTGGCTTAAGCGTGTGAGTGCATGTCATAAAAATCCTCTTTCACAAATCAAACAAAAATGAATTTACTTAAAAAAAAGAGAAAAAAAAATACTAGGAGTACATGAGGTGGGGAAGGGGGAATGGGGGTGGCAGATCAGCCTGGAAGTCTCTTCTAGTGTTTGCTGATTGTTAGCGCTCTTTTGCTCTTAGTGAGTAACGCATGAGCTGTAAAGCATGTTGTCTGTTCTAGCTTGTGTGGAACCAGCAAGGCATTTCCTGTGTTAAAGTGGAGCAGGCCTTTAAAAAAATGTCCTCTCACCTTCAGTCTGGTCCCTGTCACCTTAGTAACCTTTACCGCCACCTTTGACTCTTGGGTCCCTGTTGGTCTTAGCAACAGTACTGAAGGGTAATTCCTAAAATGTATTGCTGCAAAGTGCTAATAGAGACCTTTAAAGGAAAAGTATTAATTTTAAGGAATGTACTTTTATGTATAACAAAACAAAGTGATCTTTCTTTGAATAACCTCAACACTGTGCCATGATTTCACTTAGTAAAAATTAATTATAATGGAATTACTTTACAATTATACTACTTCTATCTTTTGCTGAAATAAAATAAAATGAAATAAAATAAAATAAAATTGAATTGAATTGAATTGAGGGGTCTAACCAATGCTTTGCTTCCATATCTTGGATAGGGGAATTTGTGAACTGTCACATAACTTCTATGCAACGTAACATATCACTAAGAATCTAATCTCTACTGACTGTGTTGATTTTGTATTGACTTGTGAAGTCTACAAATCAATAATTTGTTCACTCAAAATATTTTCTGTACCGTAATAGATCCTTGGAAATGATTGTTGGCCTTGAGAGTAACAGCAAGATATTTACAGTATCTGTCCATGGACTGCTGGAACTTCAGGTAAGAATTAGTTAAACACACTCCACTCAGTTTAATGCAGTTTTACTTTTATGTAGTTGTATCCTTATCATACAAATCTGGTGTTTCTGCTGCTGTTAAGGTGAAAAAAAAAAAAAAAGTTAAAATCTTAACTTAAAACAAATCGGAATTAATTGTTGATTTGAATGCTGGAAAATGAAATACGTTTGTTAATGAATGTTTCTGATCTTATTGTAATTGATTAATCAGTGCATGTTTTTATTATTTAAAAAAAGTTAACTTAGTTCGTAGTGGATAATGTTAACCAACATCTAAATAGCTATTTTTGTAAACGCTACATTTAGTCTGGATCAATTCTGGTATGAAACAGTTTTCATTATCCAAAAAATCTCGCTGAATAACCTGTTTCTTAAAGGGGTCATGAACTGAGAAATCAAAATTCCCTTCATCTTTTGACATATAAGTGGTCATAGTACAAAAACATCCTGTAAGTTTCAGAATTTAAAACTCTCTCATTAGTCTAAAAACAGCTTATATTGAAGCCAGTCTGCCAAAACTACAAGTTGTGGAATGTTCCAGTCTATGATGTAATAGTGTGGATAAACACCGCCTCCTCAGAAGTAGATCAATGCCTGCTTCCACATCTCTGCCTGTTTAGCCCCGCCCACCAATTCACACACATTGTAGGTAAATGACAAGAGTTGCAAATGCAGGTCTACACAGAAACCAAATGATAAACTTTATTTGATTAACTTTATTTTTAATGAAGTGTCAGAACACGTCAGGAAGAACTTGGTCCTTTGTTCACTTCATTTTACCGTGGATTTGTTTTGCAAACAAGGCATAATTAGATTTTCAGAATGACTGAAACTAAAAGACGGTGCTGTGCTGACTAAGTGTGAGTAACCGTTTTCATTACGTGATCACTATTGCTTTGTCTTCTTACAGATCGTTTGATATGTACTGAGTATTTATGCGTTTTTAACCTAAATAACAGCAGCGTCCATCTGTGAAGAATTTAGGCTGTCAAACATACACAACTGTTAGCCAATCATAGCAGTGGGCGTTTACTTATGAGTCTACAGTCCGCCACGACTATTCAAATAGAGCGTTCTGGTGAGGGGGTCAAAACAGGACAGAAAATAGCCTATTACTTCTAAATTGAACTTGGTCCTTTGTTCACTTCATTTTACCGTGGATTTGTTTTGCAAACAAGGCATAATTAGATTTTCAGAATGACTGAAACTAAAAGACGGTGCTGTGCTGACTAAGTGTGAGTAACCGTTTTCATTACGTGATCACTATTGCTTTGTCTTCTTACAGATCGTTTGATATGTACTGAGTATTTATGCGTTTTTAACCTAAATAACAGCAGCGTCCATCTGTGAAGAATTTAGGCTGTCAAACATACACAACTGTTAGCCAATCATAGCAGTGGGCGTTTACTTATGAGTCTACAGTCCGCCACGACTATTCAAATAGAGCGTCCTGGTGAGGGGGTCAAAACAGGACAGAAAATAGCCTATTACTTCTAAATTATGATGTTGTTTAATGTAAAAATCTTGATAACATTATTAGTGGACCTCAGAGAACAGTACAAAAAAAAGAGTAAATAAAAGGCAGTTCATGACCCCTTTCAATACATAAAATTAAGTAAAATGTGTTGCAGATTGACATCGACTTTAAATAATGTGATGTTTTCTTTCTCACAGGCCGGGCAGTACACCTCCATATTCGTGGACAATGCAGCTGGAGCATCGACCACAATACAGAATGGTTCAGATTTCATGGGCATGTTGTTGGGGGTATAGTCTTGTTTTATAGCCAGACTATATCTGGCAGGCCACGTAAGACTGCATAGCTCCTCTTTGGACTATCATCCAGCACCATATAGCCTCATGAGACAATATGTGACTGCTACAAAGCTCTCGGCTTGCTCATGGACGAGACATGGACATATTAAAACCCACAAAGCAGAGACAGTTGAATGCAAAACTGAAAGACTTTACTGAGGACAGTCGTTCCACATCTGCCTCTCTCATGTGCCGTCTACAGTGAGGTTTTTACCTCTTCAGAAAGATCAGTTCTCACTGTTTCCACTCACCATGTTCTATTTTGTGATTAATAGATGTATACAAAGAGATTTTTGTATTTTGACATTGTGTTGTTATGTCCTTCCTCTTAATTAATAGTGTTTATACAGAATGTTTATATACACAGTTTGTTTTCTATGGTGAGAGGTTTTCTACAATACAAGAGCTAAACTATTTTGGATTAGTCTTGAAGGAATATTTCACCCCAAAATGAAAATTTTTTAATAATTTCTCAGCCTCAGGCCATCCAAGATGGGTTTCTTTTTCATTGGAACAGATTTGTAGAAATGTAGCATTACGTCACTTGCAATGGATCCTCTGCAGTGAATGGGTGCCGTCAGAATCCAAACAGCTGATAAAAACGAATCCATCATTAAGACTGCTAATGCTAAATTTCTTAAAATCTCATTCAGTGAAGAAACAACTCATCTTGGATGGCCTGAGGGTGAGAAAAAATTCTACATTTTCTCATTTTTGTGTGAACTATTCCTTTAAGAATTTTGTGAACTTTAGAGGTGTTACCCAAAGCACCTCCTCTTTTGCATACATGCCTATATTTTTTAAATATAACAAGCTAGACAGTTTTATTTACTATGCAGCTCAGAAAAGCATGTTGTAGTGACTTGATTATTGATAAAAGAACAGATTTTCCATTATACTCGGCCAAAAGAAGGAAACAGCCAAATACAAGAAAAGAAACAAGATGAATGACTCCGTCTATTTTTACGTCCAACAGCTAACAGTCCCAAACAATAGCGTTTATCAAGGAGTGTGTGTGAATGTGTGTTTGGAAAGCTACTGCCATGATCGATTAGACATGTTAGAGTCCTGCTGAGTTCTCATTTTGTTTACTGCAATGCCAAATACGTCATCTGAATGCTCTGTTTTTCACATCTCCATGGAAGTTTATTCTTGCTTTCTTTCAGATGTGTTGCTTTTCTTCCTTTCCCCCCCTAACGTCGTTTTTGTTATTAACTTAGTAAATGCAGAAATTCAAATGCACATATATATTAGCATATGTACAATTTTCCATACAAATTATTTATGTTTAAATGTATCTGCCAATTAAAACGGATTTATTTTTTTAATTGGCTTCTAGCCTTCCAGTAGATCTCAATACAAGTGAAATTAATGTAAGCGAACCTGTTTAAATATACAGTATTTGCTTGTATTGTGGTGTAATGGAAATGAAACTATATTCAATAAAAGTAAAATATATCTATTCACCTGGGCATGCTTGCGGTTGACTCGAAATGACTTTTATGAGCTTTGAAATCTTGCTAACGTTCGTAATTCTCTGCTCGATAAAGCAGGCAGGACGTACTCCCGGTGCCGCACGATGAAGCTCATGGAAAATATTATTTGGTGCGGTAGTGTGGAAAATGCTTCTTTGCATCATTTGCATTGTAAATAATCCAGGATACCTCAAATACCTTGGCAAACAAGAGCGCGTCTGACAGACTGATGGTGGTACAGTATGCCACCTGGGCACACCAGAGACCCATCAATGAAATCCTGTCATTTGAGTGTCATTTAGATTATCACATGAAAAAAGCACAACACTCACATTGCACAGATAAATAATTATCTGTGCTGCGCCTTCAAGCCTCATCTTTAATCAATAGGCCTTTTCGTTTTTCTTTTCTACTTACACTCTCAGAAAATATGGTACAAAAAGTAATTATCTGACGTGTACATATTAGTACCTAAAAGGTACTATAAGTACCTTCACTCTAAAAAATGCTGGGTTAAAAAGGGACAAACCCAGCGTTTGTCCCTTTTTAACCCAGCATTTTTTAGAGTGAAGGTACTTATAGTACCTTTTAGGTACTAATATGTACACGTCAGATAATTACTTTTTGTACCATATTTTCTGAGAGTGTAAGTAGAAAAGAAAAACGAAAAGGCCTATTGATTAAAGATGAGGCTTGAAGGCGCAGCAAACCCAGCTATTGGGTTGTTTTGACCCAGCGGTTGGGTTGTTTTGAACCCAACCGCTGGGTCAAAACAACCCAATAGCTGGGTTTGTCCCTTTTTAACCCAGTGCTGGGTTATATTTAACCCAGCATTTTTTAGAGTGTTGAAAAGGTACCTCTCAAGAAGGTTTTGTACCTTTTTTCTTAGAGTTTTTGAGAACCAAAACTGTTCAAAACAAAACAGTGCTCTGGAAGTTCTGAACGTTCTGAAGGATGCTGTTAATTCTCTGGTGAAGTTCTTTCATTATAAGCAAATACCACAGCTTTGTAATACAAGGCATTGTGGTTACATTATCAATCGTCTGTAAAACCGACTGCTGCAGTGTTATTTTAGTATTATTTATACTATCATAGTTTTTATTAATATTTTGAATGGGCTATTATTGTTATATTTTCAGTTCTAATTTTAGTTATACTATTACCTGCTTTTGTCATTTGTTTTAGGTTTTTTATATTTCTAAATAGTTTTAATTTATTTTTTTATTTCAGTTAGTAATTTTAGTACTTAAAACTTATTTTAATTAGTTGCAAAGGCAAGATCTATAAAAATTTCGGCTAAAACTTACAATAAGGTTTCATTTGTTAAAGGGATAGTTCACCCAAAAATGAAAATTCTGTCATTAATTACTCACCCTCATGTCTATGGAAGGGTCAGAGAACTCTCGGAATGCATCAAAAATATCTTAATTTGTGTTCCGAAGATGAACGAAGGTCTTATGGGTTTGGAACGACGAGGGCGATTAATGACAGAATTTACATTTTTGGGTGAACTATCCCTTTAACATTAGTTAACTACATTAGTTACCATGAACTAACAATGAACAATACGTTTGCATTTATTAATCTTAGCTAATGTTAATCTCAACATTTACTAATACATTTAAGATCAAAAGTTCTGTTTACATCAGTTAATCCACTATGAACTAACATGACCATGGACATTTTAAAGGAGATGCCCCTTTTTACACTATGTAATATAAGTGTCAGGTATCCCAAGAATGCGAAGTTTCTGCTAAAAAAAAAAAAAAAAAGATTTTTAAAAAAGAATTTATTATATTATTTTGAAAATGCCTATTTTAATGGAAGTACATTCACGCTGTTTTTGTGCATGTCTCTTTAAATGCAAATGAGCTGCTGCTCCCCGCCCCCTTTTCCAGAACAGGGCTATGCCTTTACAGCTTGTTCCTCAGATACTCTGCTAAAAAAAGATATATTTGGTTTTGCCTATCATGCTGAAATCCTGCGTTACCACTAAGTTTACAATTTTTTTTGTTTTTTTTTGTTTACAATTTTCCTCAAATATGTTATTTTTAGTTATAAAAGAATAAAACATTTATATTTTTAGAACTAAGCTTTATCTCAATTAAGATGATTAAAAAGTTTTTTTTTTTTAGTTTTAGTGTAGGTTAATGATAACAACACTATTCAGTTTTGTGGTACACTCGCATTTCCACTCTTTCTTCTCAGTCGATTCTAACAGCTTATAAAAGAGTTAAAAGACTTGATTAGTTCTCTTTAAAAGTGCACGGCAACATTAGTGTCCTTAACCACATGTTTCTGTGCTCCAATTAATGTTATTTTAAGAAAATGGCCATGCACCCTTGAGCCAAGAGTTTTAATGCCAGGCAAAGCATAGTTAGTTTTTAAAACCACATGTTCCAATAACCACAGTATAAATCTACAACTAAATTGTGAAGGAGTTTAGCTGTCTATGTTTTCAAACATTTGACTGAAAAAGTCATGTCTAGAAATCTTGTCTAGAACATAACTCACACATATTAAACAGGCTTGTTCAAAAAGCTGCAGTATAAAATGTGAAGGCCTTACATGGGTTTTTATTGATGTGTTCTATAATATTTACACATAATAGGAAAGCCTCATTTAAACTGGGATCACCCAAACAGCAACTTTTCCAAATATCAACTTATCTTATTCACTTTTAGAGCTCATTCTTTTGTTTCGAGAGCTGAAAGAGATTCCCTGCAGACACTGTGTAACTAGCATTCAATTATTATCCCTAAGTGCAAAGAAAAGTGGTGCAAAATTGTCACAAGTGTTGGGAGTCTTTTATGTGTACATTTTTCAGATAATAAGGGCTTAATTTAGTCAAGCTGTTGCAAAACTGTTACAGACCTGGACACAAAAATAGACTGAATCATCATCACTTATTTGCTGGATTTTCTTTTCTGTTGACCAAGCATCATGGAAAATCTGTTGTTAAATCAATTACCAGCATACATGCTTTTTGAAGGTGCATAGTAAACTCGTACAAAAACCCAGTCATGTATGCACAAAAGGAAATGTGCATTTTGGATTACATCTAAAAAAAAAAAAAACATTAAGCCTATCGATGAATGCTTAGATTAGCAGATTTTCTTCAATTTAAGTGTCTCAGGCTGTGATTTTTTTAATTGATCATAACAGATATCAGCTTCTTTCCTTTTGTTAAATAAGGCTCACAAAAGGTCCTTGAAAAACTTTATAATTTAAATTTTTACTACTTTTGAAATGCCTTTTTATGTGTGTTTTATTACATATTTTTCTATTACATATTTAATGTTAAACATTTAAGACTGCAATCAACTAAAAAAATTAACATAAACCAGATAAATAATAAATAAATAAATAAATAAAGACATAATTTTTTTTTCAAAAGCCAGTGAAGAGTGTGAGATAACATTTATTTAGTAATTTTATTCCAAAAATGTAGTATAATTTCCACCACTGTCAAACAATGCATCGATACTGTATATACAGTATACTGTCAAACACAATTTATCAATTGAGATTTGATAGAAATTTTCAGGTGAAAAAAAGTTATTTGGTGAGGCTGATAGAAGACAAATATGACTTAATTTTACAAAATATTTTGGGAATTTTATAGCCATGAAATAGCTGCAACATTGGCCAGCATCATTCATTAACTGCTCTGTTTAAATCTTTGTCTTTGTATTCAATGGTTTTGTATTAATGTGTAATTTGGTATTCACAGAGGACTTAGTTCTTGCATATTGCCATTTATAATTCTCAAATAGGAGGACTATCACTGCAAAGGCTTTGTCTTTTTGTTGTTATGTTGTTGTTTTAAATATGTTTAATGACAGCTGTGTGAGCATGCTTCAACTCATTCACCATCCCAATGTGGAGCACTCGGAGCCTGCCAAGGCAGTTGCGAAACCACCTTGCACCACAAACTCTCTGACAGGAATTTCCCATTGCCCCATTATCAG